TTCTCTCTCTCTCTCTCTCTCTCTCTCTCTCTCTCTCTCTCTTTCTTTCATTATTTCTGGAGATCAGTGCAGGTACTTAGGTTGATGCTAATCTGTTAGAAATCACCAAGTATTTTTTAAAACTTTTGTACAACATAATACCATAACAAATTCTCTTTAGAAAGCAAGCGTTTTATTTTCAAAAATTACATTATGTGGCATAGGAAAGAATGTTTGAGGCCCGAAGATTGTGGGTGGGGCATGTAAGCCTAACTTCTAGTGTTTGGGGCCTAGGAAATCGATGTTATAAAACAACGCTTTTTGGTTTGTTTGTTGTAGCTTTTTTTGTACCTTTAGATCTATCTTTTATTTGATATTAGAGCTGGGCGGAGAAGCGATTCCGGAACCGATTCCCACGAAGAATGTTACGAAAGAAAAGTTCCGACTCCTTTTTATGTAAACCAACGGTTTCCAGTTACTTTGATCGTTAAAATCTTTTTTTTTTAAATTTGTTTTTGAAAATAAAAGTTGATTCTTCGTAGTGTTCCGAAATCAAGGTTATCCTAAATCCTGAAGATGTTACGACCCAACGAGATAACCATTTGAAGAAGTCGCATCTTTAGAAAGTAAGTAATTGGGTTCGGAGTCGATTCCTACGATTCCTAGCTTTCAATAATCGGAATCGGGAACCTAGCCGCCCAGCACTATTTGATATACTTGACACTGAATATAAATATAGCAAAGTTTCGTGTTACTAATAATATTATGCTAAGTCACCCCTTACAAAAATAGGTCTTTGGTGTGGTACTCTTGTGCGGTCTTCTCCTTTCGCTTTTTCTTTATTTTAGTTCTATCAAATTCTGTTTCTCAGCCAACTAAGACCATTTTTTGTAGCGACTCTCAAAGAGCTAAGAGTGACTAACTCTCAGAAAACTTTCCGTCTGTTCTTTTCCAGGTGCAGTGAGATCTTCAAGTCGGACGTATCGATATCCCTTTGGACAGGCCGCAGTCGAATACGAGACCGAGTCTGGAACCGAATCTGGAACCGCTGGTACCGGTTCCGGCGTCAGTCGAACCTACAGCGGCGGCTCCTACGACCCGGGTCTAGCTGTCGTGTACGCTCGAGGAGGGTCGAGTCGAGGTCAGGCCCGGGCCAGGACTTCCGCGGAGGAGAGGCGGAGACACGCGCTAGAGTTGAGACGGAGACTCGAACAGCGACAGCAGCATCAGAGGGCGAGGGAGGCTGCCGAGAGTGGCAGGCAGACGGGGAGTGGCTCGGGGACTCGGTGGGCTGTGGTTGGAACCGACTCCTCATCATCATCATTGCCCTCATCATCATCATCATCTTCATCATCGTCATCCTCCTTCTCATCATCATCTTCTTTGTCAGGGGGTCAAGGTAGAAATGCTTATGCTACAATAAGTAATGCCAGTAGCGGTATTGCTAGTGGTGGTAACAGTGGTGGTGGTGGTGGTGATGGTAGTGGTGGCAGTGGTGGCATTTCAGGACAAGGACAGAACTCTACACAAGTGAGCACCACGACCGGAAGTGACGTAGGCGAGGGGTCGACAGACCGGCAACGACAGCAACAACTACTACGACGACAGCAACAACAACAACAACGGCGACGACAACAACAGCTACAACAACAACGGGGGCGTCAGCTGATCACAGCGCGCACAGAATACATCCCGGACTCTCAAGTGACCTCCGGCGGTCGGGCGTCACACGGACAGACACACGGACAGACAAACAGACAGACAAACAGACAGACGAACAGACAGACGAACAGACAGACACAGTGGGCGCCGCGGGCAAGAACATACGGAACGAACAACCAAGGACGTACTTACTACTCCACATCAGGAACTTCTGTAGCGGGTCAGCAAACAGGAGGGGGGACTTCAACCAATCAGCAGCAGCCAGGATACGGGATCCCAGCCAATCAGAACCCAGGATTCAGAGCCGGCGGCTATTACGAGTCGGTCCCCAATCAAAGGGCGGCAGAGGGTGGCTCGCGCACATATTACCGCCAGGTGGACCCGCAGCTCCGACCGAGGCCGAGACAGACCTACCCGGGGTACAGGACTCGTCTCCCGAATCCCAACCTCGGAGGAGCTACCGGACAGAGAAGCTTCCCTTTTGACCCCATCACCGGGGCGGGGTCGCAACACAGTGTAAGTGAACTATGGTATTTCACAGTGAACTATGGTATTTCACAGAGAACCATGGTATTTCACAGTGAACTATGGTATTTCACAGTGAACTATGGTATTTCACAGTGAACTATGGTATTTCACAGTGAACTATGGTATTTAACACAGTGTAAGTGAACCATGGTATTTTTAACATAGTTATTGCTTGCTTGCTTGCTTGATTCATGGATTGATTGATAGATAGATTGATTAATTGATTAATTGTTCGATTGATTTCTTTTATTGACTGATTGATTGACTGGCCGACTGACTGGTTGATTTATCGATCAATTGATTGATTGATTGATAGATTGATTGATTGATTGATCGATTGATTGATATATAGATAGATTGATTAATTGATTAATAGTTCGATTGATTTCTTTTACTGACTGATTGATTGACTGGCCGACTGACTGACTGGCTGATTGATTGATTGATTGATTGATTGATTGATTGATTGATTGATTGATTGATTGATTGATTGATTGCTCGATTGATTTCTTTTATTGACTGATTGATTGACTGGCCGACTGACTGACTGGTTTATCGATTGATTGATTGATTGATTGATTGATTGATTGATTGATTGATTGATTGATTGATTGATTGATTGATTGATTGATTGATATGTCAACATCTATCATCCCCCCTCCATCCCCAGGAGTGTCCAGAGACCGGCATAGACCTGCGCATCGACGGGCTGGACTGTCGGACCGCCGTGGAGCTACACGGGACACACCTGTGCTACACACACGAGCACACCTCCAGGCTGTGTTGCCAGGTGTGTCGGCTCAGGAAACAGCCGGCCAGGATCGGTGAGAGCTGGTGGTGGCAGCAATAATAGCAGCAGCAGCAGCAACAGCAGTAGTAGCAACAGCAGTAGTAGTGGTACTAGCAGCAACAGCAGTAGCAGCAACAGCAGTAGTAGTGGTACTAGCAGTAAGAGTGGTAGTGATACTAGCAGTAACAGTGGTAGCAGCAACAATGGTAGCAGCGATAGTGGTAGCAGCAACAGTTGTAGCAGTAATAGCAACAACAGCAGTAGTGGTACTCATAGCAACAGTAGTAGTGGTACTAGCAGTAACAGT